GACTTTTAATATGTTCGTGCCCAGTGGAATATCTTCGTCGACATTGTGAGCTTGGTAATCCGGTAGTTCAAATTTAGGGCGTTGTCGTTTACATCCGACACTCGAATCGTTAGCTAAAAATTAACAATAGAAAAACAACAACAATTGTTAGAATAGTGGAACATATTAATTCGGCAAGGGAGAAATAAACATTCAACAAGTAAAGAGAGAAATCGCACTCGTATGCAGATGCTTGCGTCTTTTCTAGACAGAAGGAATTGTTATTCTTCGAAAACAACAAAGTTCGAGAAACATAAATCCAGTTACCTCGACCGATGTCGAGAAACCACCAGAGTCCTCTGTCGCTGTTACTATCAGAGAATAAATGTGGGGCTGCCGCAGATCCTCAAAATCCAGTTCTTTTGCAAGTTTTACAATTCCAGAAGTCGGACCGATGTTGAATGTACCCGCGGCTCCTTGACCTTGCGCCTTCAGCGTGTAGCGTATCTCCCGATCAGCGAAAGACTTGGCTTTCACCGATATTATGCTGAAAAGTTTCAACATGTGACACTTGCATGAACATCCCGCGGACTTGGCAGCTCGGGAATAAGCAAAAAAGTGCGAAAATACAAATAAATTTCGAGAAATCTCGATTATTTGTCACGCAAACGAGCAACTTGGTCCAATCCAAATCGAACTTTGAAAAGTCAACTAACCCGAAAACAAATAGTTCCAATAGTAAAGTCAAACAGCTACGATATTCAAATGTAATGCAATCTTGTGCAAATATTGCAGTTGAGAGCAAATAAGAGAATATCACAAGTTGAGTATCAAAAAATAATCGTGTAAAAAAATAACAAACGCAAAAAAAAGGAGAGAGTCACTAACAATTTTTTTTCAAAAAACATCATTTATAATAATAACAATTTATGAAGCAACTTACAGAAGCAACATGACAATATCATTCTGACTTTTTTCTTTTAATATTTTTATTATTAAAACTGACTTAAAAATTGGTAAAATTATTTATAATCGTGTGCAAAGGAGTGGAAACGTGTTGCAAAGAATTCCGACCGTTCTTTCAATAAGTAAACTGGAAGAGTTAATCAGTTGTGATTAGACTTGCGAACTAACTCGGAGTCTTTCTTCTGATTTTCCGGTATCTCAGCCTCGTACGCCGTCATATAGAACTGCGGTGCGCGTTTTCCACCGACGATCGATAGTCTCTCCTCAGGAGTCGACTGGAAACGCCTCTCGTCGATACGGCCGTTCTGATCCTCAGCTTTCACATAAAGGACGTACTCCATATCCAGCTGGAAGAGGTCGGTACCTCGAGTACGTACTACTCCTGATCTCTCATCGACCTCAAAGCGACCGCCAGCTGCATACGGTGTGATTAATTAATTAATTAATTAATTGATTGAAAGGAGTCAGTTAGGAAACGTTATCTCCGTCAACGAAAATCCGCGATGAATCTATATTAATTACATACAATGATTCTATTTCTGATCCCCGATCAAAATACTAATTAATCAATTAAAATCAAATTACAGTTTGATGAAAATCAAGATGAAAATAACAATTTACTCTGTACGTAAATCTAATAGTTCCAAACGTTGGTGATTTACCGAGTTAAAATAGCAAATTTTTCAAATAATATTTAAGTTATTATTAGTTAGTTATCTGTCGGTTTAATGCATTATGTGCATCGCATTAATAATTCAGGATGGATTTATAGATACTTCACATTATATCACGAATTAAAAATTGTTTATGACATCGAAACGCGATTGTTGCGGGAAAGCATTTGGCATAATGGCGTCATTACTATATAATCCTATAAATTGTAAAATATGATAGTAGGTCATTGTTGTAATCATCGGGTGCATTTTCGATGAGAACAATGCGCGATTTTACGCCGATGCGATATATGTAGATTAATAATTAGGTACGCTGATCGTTCTATGTTTCTAGTGTGACATTCGTATGTTGAATCTATATTTCTCTGTAATTAATGAAACGTTCAACTGTTCAATTGACAGCATATTCTCCCATTTAATGAAAAATTTAATACTAATTTCTCCATTGATGTTTTACTTATACAAATGAGACAATTAGTCTTTTTAATCGGTATTCTTGAAGTATTTGTCAAGAGTTAGCTTTCACTACTATTTTCCTGCTGATATGAAAATTAATTTCTTTATGTAATGAAATAATTAAACATATGTATGCATTCAAAATGTTACAATAATATTTTTATAAAAAATATTTATAGAAAGAACTATTGTTTTTATTATTTTCCGATATGTAATTAAACTCATTGTAGCAGATAAGCTCCATAACAAATATTACATTATCAACATACACATAGAGTAATAAACAGAATCCAGAATGAAGGATATTTCATATAGAAATATTTTTAATTTTATATCTTTATAATAAACTTTTCTTTTGTGTGAGAAAGTATTGATTATTCAATATTTTCAATTTATGATTAAATCAAAGATTTATCGAAACTTTGCAATAATATTGGATTTTACATACGACATTATTTCCTTTTTATTCAAATTTTAAACAAGACCAAAAATAATTCACATAAATATTATTTGTGTAAACGGATTATTGATTTATAATAATAATAATTAAGTGTTTTCCTCTTAAATATTCAACGTACATTTTATTTTCGTCGAGATTAATCTTATGTTTTTTTTTATTGTATCATATATTATCAACGATACGCGTAACATAAACGTTAATGCTCGAAATATCGAGTCTCGATTACTCGTGTTATTACATACTTCGATCTCGCACGATGAAGTAATGGATGTTGTGGTCGGTGTCAGGATCCCTGGCTTGAAGGGTGAACACGTGAGTGTTCGGTGGTGCGTTCAGCTGAACGACCGTTTGCATCGGTAGTGGCCGATTAATGAAATAGGGAGGCTCGTCGTTCACATCCTTCATGTTGATGATAACGCGCTGATTGTCGGTATCTATAACGTCACATCGATTATCGCGTATACGTAGCAGCTATGAGAATACATTAACAATGTAAAGCAGCGTTGCTGGTACGTCATACTTGCGTATCACAGGATTTTAATGGCTATCGCGATGTTATTTAAATACAATTTTAATGCGACACTCCGAAGATTAACGACCCCGAAACAAATCCGATCTGTTTAATCGGGCAGTAAAAATAGGTAGAATGTTACCTTTTTTTATTATATTTTATTTAAGAGATGTTAAATTTATATTTTATACTTTATATAAATATACTGCTCGAAAGAAATTTTATTGCATAGATATTGTATTTCTATATGCTGTTAGTTATATGCTTTTTTTCCAAATGAAAAATCCAATTAAAACTCAACAATATCTCTTTTCTGATATTCCTTTTTATATAAACATATAACATATACATATTTCTAATTTATTGTACGCAAACAATTAATGTTTCATTTTGATCAACAGCGCTGATTGATTAATAGTTACATGTTTTGCAATATCTAAAATGCTACAACAAGCGTGTGAGCAATAAGAATGTGTTTCTACAGAAGAATTTTTTGAAAGATATGAAAGTGCAATATGAAAGCAATATGAGATATAATAATTCGGACAAATAAATTAATCTTGTTTGTTTAATATATAATATAAGTAAGCGATGTCGGTTATTACTTACATTGAAATCCTTTGAAGCCGATGATGCGAGAAAAGAAAAGGAGTCATGATTATTATTCGAAATATATGTGCATGAAAATTTATTACAGACATATATGGCAATAAATATTTCATATATGTTGTAATTATATACATCACACAATGCTAATTTGTAATGAATAAATAAGAAGAAAAATGAGAAATGAGCATTTCTATAATTATTTTTGTTATAATTATATATACACGTTATATACTATAAGTATTTAAAACTGAAAAATAAAATTTGAATGTTAAAGATAGATAAAATGCAAATATGATAATCGTATTTATCGTATGTATTATATATATTTATAATTTTGCATATCTTTGCAGAGTTTGATGACTAATATTGTTATCCACCTGCGAAATTAACTTATAACCTTTGAAACGAGAGATACCGCACCTTTTAAACAGAGCCCCAGAAATAGATTAGAAATTAGAAAAAAGCGTGAATGCATACGGGAATGGGCCATGAAATGTGCCAGTGTTGAAACTATTTCAGGCAGTACGAAATAAAATCTTATCGAAATAAAATTTTACCATCGTAAAATGGGCACGAGACACCGGGTGGATATCGCGCGCACGGCTCTTCACATGTGGAGAATATCGAAGCAGAAATTAATTAAACAATATAAAGAAATAATATATTGAAAAATATTACATTCGAATGCCATCAATTATATCATAAAACAAAATTAAAGGCCAAATTACATAAAATAAATTTTTTTAGAGAATACTTTTTTCCGATAAAATTAAATTAATTAAAAAGTTATGTAGGAAACATTTTTCCGCTACAAATCTACATTATGTGATTGGAGGATTTATATTTATGTATAAAATTGATGAAACTCTTTGTGATAGTACCTGTACCTGTGTTCGTAATAGTAACCCAGAAGTCGATAGTCTTTTCCGGGCCCAATTCCTCGTAGTCCCACTTCTGTTTTACCATTACGGATCCGTTGGCACCCACGGTGACCCACTTGTTCTCATCTCTTATCTTATAGGTTTCCTTCTCGTTTTCCTTCTCCAGATAAAATGCAATCTTGCCCTCGATATTCCCGTCCGCCTCCGTGAAATCGACTTTCTTTGTCGGCCGCACCGCTCTGGTGACTCTTCTCTTCTGTATACGATGTACTTCCGGTGGATCGTCGTCCGGTTCCGAGGTGAGGAACCTCACGATAACCTTGGCCGGTTTCTCGGTGCTGCGGCTCGGCATGCGTAGATCGTGTGCCTCGACGATCAATTCGCACTCGCTGTCCTGCTCTGGATTGACTTCCGGCTCGCCGGTCAGCAGCAATTCACCGGTTTGCGGTACGACGATCAGCAGGCTGTTAGGCGTGACCAACTTGTACGCAACCTTGTCCCCGTCGGCGTCCTTGGCCGTGACCTTGCCCACGGTGGAGAACCTCTTCCAGCCCGGTTGCGCCACGTTGCCTTTGCGCAAGATGTCCAAGTTGGTCGGTCTGATCTCGAAGATGTATAGCTGACGTTCGAAGATGGGACTGTTGTCGTTCTGATCGAGCACGTGAACAATCCCGCTGATCTTCGACGTGCTGAGGAAGTTACCGTCCGACGCGTGTATCACGACGGTGTAGATCCCGCGAATCTCGCGATCCAAAGGTTTCGCCGTGACCACCCTGACGCCCTGCATCTGACTCTTCAGGGTGAGATTGAAGCCGGTTTCATCGGACTCGCTCTCTCGTAAAGCGAAGGGCCGTTCTCCGTTATCGCTCGGCAAGATCTTATAGTGAACCGGAAAGTTTCCGCGCGCCCGCAGAACCGGAAAGCCGTCTATCCGCGTTCCGACCGACGAGTTCTCCGGCACTTCACCCTCGCCCAGACGATCGTGCGAGAAGGTCAGCATGTTTCGGCGATTGATGACGTAGAGATGGAGATCGTGGGTCTGCGTGCCGTTGGCCAGCTCTTCCAGAACGATCAGGTTCACCGAGCGATCCACCAACGGCGTCAGGTCCGATGTCGTCATCACCAGGCCGTTACCCAGCACGGTGAAGTACTTGGAGAAACCGGTCTCCAGAAGACGGAAGTTCGAGGCACGACTTGCATCGCGCCGGAATTGCGTCACCTCGTAACCAGGATAGACATCGTGCGGCAACACAGCCACCTTGGCGTAGGTGACAGAAGTGGCTGCCAGTAGGAAGACGATGACCCGTGCACGCCACATCCTGCTCTGTTTGTGCTCTCCCGCGCTCTCGCTCTCTTTCCTCTCTCTCTCTCGTTCAGTACGCCAGAGTACCTTTACTAGAGCATCAGTGTTGACGCCAACTGAAAGTAGGTGACAGAGGAAACTATTAGTCAAGAAGATGAAACACGATAGGCGAGCATGAAAACTACAAACGAGAAGTAAAACTGGAAAATTTTGATGAATGGGGATAAAGATAAAAGTTAGCGAAATTAAAACTGCTATTCAGATATTATTTAAACATTTTTTCGAGATAGATTGAAAAAATAGCTTACTCGTAATAAATCATATAATGCATAATATATTAAAAAATGTTAAACGTAAACATGGTACAATTAATAATTTATATTGATATTTAGATATTCTACAAAATATGAATCAATTAATTTTTAAATTACTGCTTTTTAATTTAATTTAATTAGAAAAATATTACGTAATATCTAGCTTATAGTGATTTATGGTACGTAATAAATCTCTCGATTGATGACGGGAAGATGAGATAATTAAGAGATAAGATATCGCGCTTTTTATCACGTTTTGTACGCGCATGACAGACACGAGTCTATAATTTTATCGGAATGAATTAACATATCGATAATGAGGCCGATGGCGGCTAATGTTCACGTTTAAACGGTCCCAGTGATTTTGCATGCATTTTCAATCATTGCATTTGGAATGTGAACAGCCGAGCTGTAAATTCATTACGCGTGAACAATTTACGCGCGCATCCTGTGACACTATGACGGCATTTATATACTCGCGTGCAATTACATGCGCGTCGGCCGCAACGTGAGAAAGCCTTCATGTAACGCCATTAACGTGCCTTGCACAAAAGCTCATGGACCCGTGTTACATATCGGAAGCAACGCAGCAAATTAACCTTAATTTTATTTTCGATCGAACACTCCCTGTGCACGGTTATAATGTGCATTTAAGCTTCCTAACATAACTTCGTAACATAACCTGCTGCGAAGTGTGTCAAGTCATTTCACACAATAAGCACACGTCTATCGTCTTGCTTCTGAAAAGTTTGAAGAAGAGATATTGGAGACATATTAATATAAATTAATAAAATATGAAATAAGATTTCACTTGATGACGATGAGAATTGCATTTATAATTCGTTTTAAGTTGAAGATAACAAATCGTGATGTTGAAAAGCTCGGACAAATTGGACTACAGCATGTCAGTATGTCACAATATCATATTTGTATCATATTTTATAAGCCGTTATTTATATAATCAGATACAATACTTTCATTTAATTTTACTTTTATTTAATTTTACTTTAATTTAATTTTAATACTTTTATTTAATTAACTTGAAATAATAATATTAACGATGTTACTAGTAAAGTTACTTCAAGAAAAATATCTCATATTCAGTAGCATATAAATTTCAGTTTAATGTTACTACACGTAACGCGATATAAATAGTGTAAAGCTTTTTGGATTCTAATTCACGCGATCTCGTGTATCTTTCCGAAATACGACTATCTTAATCTTGCGCTTTATATTCAATTACAGTGAGACTGCTGTTATCGTTCGCATAAAATCCACAATGCACGAAACGCTTACAATTTCGCTATTATGATAATACCCTGAATAGGGGGGAAATATCGTAATTCTGAAGATAAAGATACAAGCTGCATGTGAAACAGTGCAAATTGAGCAATATGAATGGTAATTCTCCACTTATGATAATGGCTGGAAACAAATTTCTTATCGCGTATAATGATAATATTCTGTGCTTACTGTTAATGTTTGTCTCATGATATGACATATCTCAATCCAAAAAGAATTGTAACTAAAACGAGAATGGCGATATTTTAGATAGCTGTTGTTTAGTATATATGATAAAGATATCAATATATAGCATTTTATATTAATATTGCAAAAAATATCATATTTACGATATGCAATACGAATAATTTTGAAAAACAAACATTAAAATTTTCGATCTCATATTTTTAAATAATATTATTCTACAGTTTTATTCTTTTTGAAATTTGAGATATAAATGTGTGTTAAAAATAAATGCTGAATGTTGAAAATTGAAATTGGAAAAATTTTAATTGAAATCAAATTTTCGGAAACAAATTGGGTCACGATTAAATATATTCTAAGAAAATATTGTTGCCTGATAATCGAACTGTGCAAAAAAAAACGTGCCTTCGCTTGTCGTACACCGCGCAGGATGCGATGAACAATGTCCGCAATGTTGTACCGGAAATAAGAACCGGCGCGTACGAGTTGACCATTGTCATTTAGTAACCCTCCGTTCCATTTGATTCTATTCACGCCCCAAGAGAACCGGATGTGAGGTCAGCCGCGGCTCGTTTAAGTTCGAAACCGCTCCGACGGCCGTACCGAAAAAAGAAATGTGCGAACATAACTGTCTTTGTGATGCAGTACAGTTGTAATGTGAGCCGCACGCGATATTGAACGCAATATTGCCTCCGTGCTAATATCGTACGAAATAAGAAACACAGGTTTATATTTTTGACAGTTATCGATTATGAGAAAGAACGTATAAAAATTATTAGCGGAGAAAACATCCTAATATGAATAGATTAATTGTCGGCTTCTAAGCGGTCGAAAATTTTACGATTAATAATTTGTTTAATAAAATTATTTTATTAATAATTCAAATGTAATTAATCAAATGCGTTTAATTAAAAATAGAATAATTATTTCATTAAAATATTTAAAATATTTGTGAGGATAAGAAGGGTAATATTTTTCATATTATTGCGTTAAAGCGTAAATTACTTTTTTATGAAAAATGAACTAAATTATGCGTCTTTTATTAAAATAAATAAAAGCAGGAAAATATTAATGTATTCGACTTGCAAAGTATATATTTGAGGAATATTCATTCGATTGCGTTAAATTAATCTCGACTCGTAATATGATTTACTCCAATCTAGAAAATGCATCAGAAATACGCGCGTCTGCATTTCTGAAAATTATTTTGCACAGCTAGAGTTTTCATGTTTCATACCAGACTTCTCTTTCGTTTTTCCCTCTCTTCTCTTCTCTCGTAGTTTTTATTCTTTTACGTAATTACAAGCAGATGCTGTAACGTGCTTTTAACAGCGACTCGCTCGCGATTTCGCCAACTGTTGCGTTAATGGTAACACAAATTTCTCGCAAGTTGTACGCAACGATAACAAATTTACGTGCGTCCCTTCGCACAACGGCACGAACTGTCAAGTGTCTTCGTAGCGCAAACCACATACTCGTAACAAGACAATACCGCAGAGTGTTTTCAAGAACTCAATCCACCGCGCAGCAACTGTTTCCAACAACGAACCAGATCCCACATCCTCCGGCAACTATCCGCAATGCAGCTCACGCAAGAGTTTCCAATCTCTCAGATGTATCTCCGGCAATCTCCCGATACCGCGATATGCAAGGGACCAATTCGAATTCGAAATAAGCAGTAGCCACAAACGCGCGAACAAATCGTCGAGAAATGATAGGATCGAATTCTTTACAGGCAAAAGTATCAAAAATAGGTTACAAACAAGTACCATTTGCTCGTTTAAATCAGAATTATTCCTCGAATAAGTTCCTATTCCTATATCCTATTTAAATCCTCGAATAAGTTCCTATTCCTATATCCTATTCCTATATCCTATTTAAATACATTGTTGATTAATGAAATGAGAATAATTTTTGAAAAAATTTATATCAAAATATTACACATATTTTAAAAAGTATCTACAGTTATCTGTATTAATTGATAGTTTTAATATCAATGTTTAATTTACAGATTCAAAATGAAATTCTTAATAAATCGTAAATTATTATCCCACGAGAAATTATTAAAATTAATTAATCTTAATACAATGAACTTCTATTGAGCGCTATTATTTATTTATTTATAACTAACAAGTTCATTTGATCAAGTAACTTAATAATTTAAACTCGCAAAATTTGCATCGGATCAAATATAATTATATATACTTAGTTTTGAACGTGCGTCAGGTTATTGCTGCGTTAAATTTACAAAATATTTCGTTTTGTGGTGCGTTTCTTAAATAAAATAGAAATCTAGAAAAGAGAGTATATGCAATGTTTTTCTCGAATTTACGTCGACGTCACGGTTAGATTCAATAAGCGATATTGGAACACGTATAGATATGATATTTTTATCCGAGTACTTATTGGATCTCTTTTTGAAAACTCTCTAATTGATTTCTTGACAATTGAATCGCGGTTAACGGTAACGATACGTATTGAGTTAATCCACCACTATGTCATCTCTAAATCTATTTTAGCCGCGACGCATACATTCGCAACCCGTTTACGCGCCCGCGCAGAGCGATTCTCTCCGTCTCTCTCTTCGTCTCGCTCGTTCCCGCCCGTGTTTCCAATCTCCTCTCCGTCATCTCCTCAGCGACCTCTCCTGTCTCGAGAAGTCGAGACCCTCGAGTCCCTCGGAGGGACCGAAGTCGAGGACCCGCGGCCTGGGAGCAGATGCTTCGCTGGTCTGCAAGCCTACATTATACGGTTAAGACCGACGGAACACGATACCTAATCCCTCTTCGAAACGTATTAAGTGACTTCAGCTGGGACAGCCAGGAGCCAGCCGGGCTCTCGAGCACAGAAAATGATACATCGCGCGCGCGAGCCCCCTAAAAAAGATCCATTTTATCCCGGCACATTGACCTTGCAAGATTGGCGATGCATTCGCGGGTGTAATACGCCCGCATAAGGCGCTTTGGCCCCTTTCGAAGATAGTCGGTTGGAATAACGTCTCAAATTTTTCTCACGAGCGAACGCAGAAATTGCAGGTTAATCTCTTGCGCTTAATCTCTTCAGATGGTTTTCTTTTTTTTCAAATCGGTGATAAAGTTAATTTTTTGTTAATTATTTATTAAATATGTATAATAAACCGCGTTAAAAAAATATTTACAATAAAATGGATTTAACTTTTTTTGTTTTAATAGAAAAGATAAATTTTTTGAAAAGATGAAATAAGCGACAATTTAGATACAAATTTAGATTAAAGATGTTAATAGAGCATTACATACATACATTTTTAGAATTCTAAAGTTATTTTAATCATGTGTTAT